GCAGGCGGCGCGCGCATGCGCACAGCCCGCGGCAGCCGGGCGAGCGCCCCGCCGCGGCGGGAGGCCGCTCAGGGGGCGGGGCCTCGAATGAGGCGGGGCTGGGGGCGGGGCTAAGGGCGGCCGTGGCCCCGCCCCGCGGCGGGAGCGCGGCCGTTAACGGTCGGCGGGAGCGTGAGGGCGGCGGTGGTGGCCTGAGCTCCTGTGCGCGCTTTGCGGTAACGGCCGCGGCCCGAGGCGTGCCAGGCAGCTGCTGCCGCCCTGCTCTGCGCACCTTCTGCCCTGCACCTGCTGCCGCCGCAGCGCTTTGCAACCCCGGCCTGCATGGCCGCTCCGMAGCTGCTGATGCGAGCTGCTTGCCAGGGGTGAGATCCCAGGGCCTCGGTGGAAAAGAGACCTCCCCAAACCCGCCCAGGGCAGCTCCAGCCCTCTCTTCACAACTGACCTTGTGTAAAAGGGTGGATAAATATGTCACGGGGAACKCCAGGCGTGCCTGAATGACAGACASCAGTTTTGTCCCCAAGCAGCTCTCTGTTCTGTGTGCCCTGCTCCCGTCTCGCAGAGCAGCCACGTGAGCCCAGCCGCCCTGGGGCACAAGCAGGATCACCCTGCGCCCTGTAGCAGCTCTCCTGCTCACCGCCCTGCCTTCTGCCAGCACAAGGACAGAGAAGAACTGGCTGAAGAGCCCGTCCTCTATGGTGTAAAACCTTAGGTCTTCAGGGAAAAGCGCAGCAGCCGCAGGGCTCCTACGTGATGGATTTCCACAGTGGCTGCTCATGCCGCAGCCCCCTCAGCCACCTAACCCTGTCCAGGAGGCCCCACTCCGCCACYCCGGGGTGACACAGAGCACACAGGATGGGGGACAAGACAGCCCTCGTGCCATCCTGCTGATCTGGGGTGTTTACAAGAGCCTTACCACCCGCAGCGCACTGTGCCAGCCTGCTCACCTGCAATGCTTTTTTTCCCACCCTTTGTCTTTTCTCAATACTGATTTTGATTTTCACATACAATGCTGAAGCTGTGGCATGCTGGCCCTTGGACTGCTGTCTRGTAGGGCAGCATCCTGCACAGCCCTGGCTGCTGGCCACGGGTCAGCCCTGTCGCTTCCCCACCCCTYGGGAAAGCTGCTCTCCACACGGAGACACCCTGCGCTCCTGATGCTGTCACTGCAGCCTTTCCTCTGCCTGCCCGCAGCTTCTTCTCACGTATGTAGCGGTCCCACGTTATTTAGCTGGAAAAATACTCTCACATCCACTGCTATGTTCTACATTGCGTAGGCAACATTCAAAGCCAGCAACAAAGAGGATTTATGGATGTTCAACTGAGGCACCCTTTGTCCCTTTTGAGGTTTGGTGAGTGTTCTCATTCCCAGCTCGAGCTATGGTGGTCTGTTAGAGCGTTAGCAGTTTGGGGYGAGCCCCGTTCCCTGCGCACTGCCCGCTGTGGCTTTTGTGAATCGCGAGGGGCGCAGTCACGTGCCGGGCCCCGCGGAAACGGGGCTCGCCGCCCGCGCGGATGTGAATGGAGCTGGATGCGGCTGCGCCGGGAAGGCGGGGGCGGGAGGCACCGCGGCCCTGTCGTGTGACAAGGACACCGGCTGCTCCACGTGCGGCGCGGMGGGGAGAGGGGGGCGGCCCCGCTGCAGCCCCTACGGGCCTCGGCCGCCCGGCTCTGCCGGGCAGCAGGAAGAGCATCCAACGAAACATTAAAGGCAGCCTCAGCCTTCTGGGRAGCTTGATGGTACTGTCATCCCTTGGGAACTTTTGGGGAACAATGCAGTTGTAGTAGGATCTTAAAATGAAAGAAATGCGAGCAGCCTCTGCTCTTTTATTTCAAACCCTCAAGAAAATGTAGAATACAGTCGGTTTTGCTAGAGATTTCCCTCAAATCACATCAGCGAGCGTGTTTGTATTCCACTGCCGTAGCTGAGCCAGACAAGGCTRCAGCACAGCATCTATTTTTAGACTCCAGGTTGCCATTTATAGCTTGTAAAAATATTCATCACCATCTGGATAACAGGCTATCAATTTTTATAAATGTACACGGGAGATTAGGTATTTTACTTCTCTCTCTGCTTTGCCCTTTTATGTCCTGCCTCAGATGACCCTTTGGGAGTCATCTGGGAACTCTTTGCTTTTAAGCTCCTTATCACTGCTGTACCCGCTGCCGCGTCTTCTCTGCTGGGGCCACCGGGGTGCAGGACACAAACCTGCAGTCACGGAGCCACCTTATGTGTCTCCTGCACCCARGCAGTGGCACGTGTGAATGTGGGTGCCTCACACAGCCAGGGTACAAGGCAACACCTTCCAAAAATGCYGTCTATAGAAAGAGGAGACCATTGGAAAAGGCAAACGGGAAGGGCTTGGGGAGATTCAGTTAGGCAAKCGCTACCTCCAAAGAAACTGCACTACAGACACACCAAGCCATAAACCCTCCATCTGGGCACTCTCTGCCATCCCTAACGTCTTTCCACGTCATGTTTTGAAGATAAATCAATCTTTAATCAATTGAACTGACTTTCTGTACTGAGGGATTCAGGGACAGAACGGGTCACGACAAGCATCGGCCTGGAATAACTTGGCGCTTGTGCACGAGTTCTGCAATCAGACCTTGCTGGAGAGCAGCAGGGAATAGACAGAGCTGCTAAAAATAGCATTTCCTTGCAGTGTTTTTCCAGACTATTTTTGATTCTTGATTCTGATAAGGTTGACTGGCTATTTACTAAAAATAGCTAATCCTAGCAAGCTGAGGACAAAAATGTATTTATAACCACGTCAGACTAAAGTACATTTGCTGGCTGCAGATAATATAGGATCTTATCATCAGTCAATTGCCAGTGATTTATGTAAGTTGGTAATAAACAAAGCATTAATTGGAAGAATGAGTTTCTTTATCTTGTCACTCTGATTTTCTTAAATACTGTACACATATTTTGGCACTTTTCGTGGTAGTTTCTTCTGCTTGTGCTGCTCTTCATGTTGTGATCCAAACTGCTTCAGAACCAACCAGCACAACGCTCTGTGAGGCAGGCCATTCCCACAGGAATGGCTGCAGGGGACATTAACCGTGCAAGAAGGGTTTTGCTGCGTCGCATGCCGGATACTCCTCGCTCCAGGAGACCTCTCTGGGGCTACGTGTTTATGACACTCGAGAGCCCACGCAAGCTGCGCCCACTTGCCGCTCGCCGTCGGTGCCTGGGAGACGCCCTGACCGACAGCCACCAAGCTCAGCACCAGCTCCTGCAGCCCTCTCAGTGACCAGGAGGTTAATGTGCTGCATCTGCATGGGCTCCTTCGTTAAGCATCACACTGTAGCAGGCTCCTAAGCATTTTGCATTAATTACGTGCTACCTACACCATGGTAATTTGGACTCCGACACACAGAGCCCATCACAAGCATTCTGCCTTTGAAGGGTGCTAGATACTACCCGATCTGAGATCAGAACGGGAAGCACTGAACTCTGAAGGGAAAGCTTTATGGAACTCAGTGAAACAAACACAGCTCTAGGAGTCTCTCCCACTCATCTGGATAGGTTTGTGTGCTTTTGCACGCTTAGCTGGGGCCAAGCAAGGGCTGACATGGAAATAATTAATAGCCTCTGATCATGATTCAGGAAAAGATAAAACATTCTAACATTCTAAGTCTCTCCCTTTCCAGAAAGGGTGGAATTAATAAGCAGCATTAAAAAAATGACACCACAGCACCATATTAGAGAGTTAAGAGCATATTCATTAGAAATGAAATAAAAAATACAATGATGCAGCAGAACAGGGGGTAGCAGGTAAACGAGACCCCCACCACTCCATACCCTCACCCTCAATCCAAGGAAAGCACTTAATATAATACAAATCAGAGATCTCAAACAGGGGCTAGAGGATGGGCTTTACAAAGTAATTTTCTTGCTATACAGAAAATATATCCTTTGCTGAGGATCAATGTCAATGTTGAGCTGTTAAGGGCTTGTCACCACTCAGGAAAGCCCCCTGAAGGTCTCTCAACCGCTACTGTTTCCCCACCAGTTTGCTGAAAACGTCGTAGATCTCGGGCTTCTCCTGAGCAAACTGCTCCGCCGTATTTCTCTGCAGCCAGTCGGACGAGCGCATCTGCTGCTGCAGGAGGCCGATGAGGTCCCCAAGGCTGGAGCTGCCAGCACAGGCAGGCTCCTGGTGGCGGGACACAAAAATGACCTCGTCCGTGCTATCCGCTTTGCCGTCCTGATCCGACTGGCACGGCTGCTCCTTGGCCTCGGCCAAGATCTCCCGCTCCCGCTCTTCCAAAACTTTGCGGATCCGCTGCATACCTGTACGGGGTAAGGAAGAGAAACACCAGGGAGTTAGACCAAGCCACAGGGGTTTGCAAATGCCTGTGAGATCTGGGGAAAAAACGAAAGCAGCAAAGAATAAGAAAGGAGAAAACGGAAGAAAGAAGGATGATAATAATAATAGCAATAGAACAGTTTAGGATTAAAGAGTATTTTAGAAATTCTGGCAGGAGGGAAAAAGAGAAGGAAATATTACTCACCTAACTGTAGTCGATGGATTTTGTCGGCAAAGATAATGCGGAACCATCCAGGCTCACTGCATTCAAAGGCTTTGCCGCAGGACAGCAGGACCTTGTTATCAAGAAAACGCCTCCAGAGCAGCATCTCCTCCTCAAACGTCCCTGTCCTAAGGTACTAGGAGAGTCAGCAGAAGGACCAGAGGTCAGTAACATACATGTCAACTCATGGAGATCCTCATGAACCTCTGATTCCCCTGAGGTCTGTGAAGGCCTGGGGAGACACCTTCTACCTCTGGAGAGCAGCAGGTGTGATACAAAGGGAGAAAGGGGAAGGAAAGGGGCTTGAGAGTAATAAGATTCCTGCGAGGAGGTAAATGCACAGACAGACTGAAGGAAGAGCACACACAGAAACGCTGGTCAGCCTTTCCCTCTGCTCATCAAGAGAACAACGAAGCTTTAGCAAGACATTTATCACTATATTAAAYGCTCCTTTAGGCTCCTTTGCACCAAGTGCCTGCCCTCAGCCCAGGAGAAACCTCCTTTCTTGAGACTACCAACCTTTCGGAAATCAATCCAGACAAAGAAGCCTGCATTGCGGTTGAGAAAAGGAACCCCAAGTGTCTTCAGCTCATCTGTTACATACGTATGGGCAGCTTTTAGGCGGGCATGGTTGGCCCTCAGGTACACCTGGTTGATCCAGTCTAACCAGAGGGAGAAGACAGAGAAAAAAGTTGCAAACTGAATAAGAATTCAGATGCGTACAGGTTTTCAAAACACTCATAATGCCTTTTTCCATTTCACCCTTTTCCATTTCACCTTATTTCTTTTGTTTTCTGCTGCCTCAAAAACAAACAAGAGGACTAAGAACTTAGCAGCTTCRTGTCTGTGCACAATCACGCTGTCTCTGCTTTTCTGGGCAAGTTTTCCTATGTTCCCTGCTCCTAGTTGCTGTGGAGTGTTAGCACTCCAAGCAGGACAAAGCCAGAAATCCAATCATTTTCCTCTTCCCACAAGACTGTACTCTTTTGTTTCTGCCCAGCTGGTTCTAGGCGACACTACCATTTGTGTATGAAACTACCAAACTTCTTCAGGGCTCTCCTCTAATTCTGCTCGCGAGGAGCTCTGCAGGAAGGCGCCTTTCTGCAGGACCGCCAGCCACGTGCTACATGGGCAGCATCGGGATGGTGGGAGGCTGTTAACTGAGCTGCACGAACGAGAGGCAGTTTGAGCAAGTGTGGGGAGAGGATCCCCCGAGGTAGGAGGCACACAGAGCAGCAGAGCGTTATCGGTTAAGCTACTCACTCACCTCTGTCTCTAAGCAGCTGGGCAACCTTGTGCTGGACAGGTCCGCAAACCCCGTGGAAATAACACAAAGAAGCCACGGCGTTGGCAACGTCTTGGTTCTCTGTGTATAGAGTACCAAAGCGAATGCCAGAGACAGCAAAATCCTGCAGAAAACACGGACAGGCTACTCCATTGCCCAGGAAGACTGGGATGCAACTACGGCTGCCTTGATCTTCCTGCCACAAGGGCCTTGAGGACACCAGGCCAGCCGCACCTGCGGGGAGGTGCCCCGCATTAGCACTCACCTTGCTTATTCCCCACATCACGTGAGTCCTCTGCGGATCGGGCAATCTGTGTGTGGAAGGATGCAGATGGGCAGTTAGTGTCACCGATGCCGAAGCTTTTGGATCACCAGTGCAGCATTGCACAAACAGAGAGGCAGACAGAGCAGCAGGCAACTTCAGTCGAGTAGGGAAAACTCAAGCAGGACCTAACTTCAGAAGCTAGCAACTCTGGCAGCTAAAAAATTGGTTTTAGCCAATTTTTAAAAATATTTCAGGTCTGTAGCTGCCTGCTTCGAGTGCTACATTTAATACACAAGTCTTCTGCATGACTTTTAAGCCTGCACATCTAAAATCTGTATATTCACTACGGAAAATAAGCCCCACGCTAACATACTTTCCAAAGATTAAAATGAGCTTGCTTGCTTTTTTTTAAACACCAATACTTTGGAAATGAAGTTCTTCCTCAGCATTACTGAATTAACAGTTAACTAAATATAGCACCATTGGCAAAAACTGGAAAGAAAATAAAGTGTATTTTTAAAAGGTGAGATTAGGAAAACTTTTCATCTCATTAAATCATAATAAAACATATTCTCAAATCTTTAATAACACTCTGATGCCATGACTACTGTAAGAAAAAACGAAGTAAGCAGCAACAGAAACAGAAAGGTCAATTGCAACACATGGAATAGGTAACAATGTTTAGATAGCAAAGAAAGTATCACTTGCAGAAATTAAGTATCTATTTCCAGGATTTGGAACTGGCAGAAGCAAGTAAGGAAGCCCACATTGAAAAATGTATCACAACAAAATACTTGCTACCCTCTCCTTCCTGGCTAGATTGCACTCGACAAAATGCATTTGCTATTCAGYAACTACAGAAAGTCAATGTAAGGCAGATTTGGAATTTGCTTGCTCATGACTTAACTTCTAGTCACAAGTTCTCAGCAAGGCATCATGTTGAATTGTCACTGGGAGATGGCCCGGGAAGTAGGAGCTGATTTTACCTGTCCATGCCTAGGACACTGTGAAACGTGGCGGATTCGTCAAATACTGACAGCATGTAGATCTCATCTACTATCACATGCAATTCGTGTCTGCAAAAGGACAAGAGACAAATTATGACAGGGTGCTGCTTCTGACGCGGGGAAAAATAACTCACTATGTGCTACCCATCTAGGGCAAATTGCACCATCGTCTACTCGGAATGGATAAAACTTCACAGAATATCTATGATCCACAAGCAGGCTGGGAACCCATGCTCATTTTTTTTTTTTTCCTGTGTACATACAGAAAAACTGGGGGAAAGGGAATTCAGTTTCCTAATAAAGCAGCAAAGCAGCACAGGACCACAGTGTTTGTACGGGCTCCTAAGAGGATAAATATAACTTATATGAACTGATGCCATTTACTTTGCCACTCCATGCTCCCTTGTTCCCACTATTCCCCTCTCCTCTCTTAAGCCCAYTGCTGCGTGCAAAGAGCAGGGCTTTTGGTCTGACTCAAAAGATATTCCCAGAAAAATGAATGGACAGTGAATAATCTGACAGAGTCTGAAAACTGCGTCTGACTCAGCATACCTCACTCTTCCAAACTGACATACCTTTTAGCAAATTCCAGGTAATCCTGTAGCTCTGACAAGGAGTAGATGTCCCCGAGGGGATTTTGGGGATTCAGAAGAATTAAGGCCCTTACAGTGACACCCTGAAGAACACAAGAAGTGCAACAGAAAGAGAAGATTCACCACAGGAAAAGTTTTCAACCTGCTCGAGCGGTCAGTGAGACACAAGAGTCATTAAGCTCAATGTAACTCAGGTTCCCATCACTTCTCATCTCAAAGGTTAGGTATTTTATGAGAAAACTGAGAAAACTTTTAGCCACAGATTAAATTTCTTTTTTTTTTGCAAAATGCAACGTCAACTGAGGGATATACCAGAGAATTAACCTATGGTATTGAAGAGCTGGAGAATGCCATGAGCCTTGTAAATAGTTAACCCATTTATGAGAAAGATGCTCTCCTTGGTCTGGAAGAGAAATTCCCGTCAGGAGTTAGGAAGTTACAGACTAGTTGAGGTTGCCCATGAGTGAGGCAAGCAAGACAGGCATTAGAGCTCCCTGGATGCCAGCTGCTCACATCCAAAGGGCATGTTTGGCTGGGAGCCAAACTGATCAGAGCCAGTACTGATCTAAAAATGTAGCAAATTCAAGGTTTCAGGACTTAGACTACCTATTCATAAAGGTAATTGTCATCAGCATTCATCTTCCAGACTGGCATCTCGCTCCCTCCTGCAAGCACTCGTGCTAGTCTGTGCTACTGAGGAGCAGCAGCCATTCTGGGGCACTTCATCTTGCTCTTTGTGAGGGGAAACCCTAGCTAGTCCCTGCTCCTTACAGCATGCCCCAATACACACTTTTGCAACACCCGTCCTGTGCTCTGTGAAKAGCCTGCCACTCCCGCTCTACCCTTTCTGTTGCAGCTAAGGTCATGCGACCAAATAAGACATTGGTGACATCTTCGGATTCCTCCTAGAACTCTAAGTATTTTGCCTCAAGTACAAGTGGGATTTGCAGCAGCTGGAACTCAGCTTTTCTGCATGGACAATGAGRATGTCAAGTGCTAGGCCTGGAAAATGCTTTTGGCTTCAGGCCCTTCTGGAACTGGTTAACCCAAGTACATTATAGAGCTAGTTGGCAATACGAAGCTGAGTTGCACTGACCTCTGCCTGGGCATCCTGCAAGGCCTTTTCCAGTTTGTCCACTGTAAGTTGAAAGGGCCGAGTGCTGGTTCCAGTGATCTGAAAGACACCACAAAGGGAAAAGAGACCCATTTAGTTCAGCAGCCTGCCATGAGCCATTGCCCCAAGAAATGTTTCCCAAAACAAAATACAATTCAGCAATAATGACCTAGCTTCCATGCTCTTATCCTTTTATACTACAGACAGAATAAATAAAGAAAATCAGAGAGTTGTTTATAGTAGCCTGGCCACACACACAGAATTCTCCGAAAAACTGAAACAATGTAAGATTTTCATGTGTTCTTCCACTCCTGGGACTATCCTTAGTAGGACAGTTGATAGCTCTGTCTTCAAGGCTCGTTATGGCCTTTGTTTTTTCTTTCTCCCTCAAGGGCCATTATTACACATTTACTGAGAGTAAGATAAAAGACAGGGAAAAGACTGGCAGCCAGATTTTTTGCCTTGAATAGGTTTCTTGAAAATTATATGCCTCAGTTTCCTAACAATAATTTGTGCAAACATCCACAGGCTGCTGTTTAGCCCTGTTCCGAGGGCTGCTCCAGAGGTTCCCAGAGACTGGCGTTTTCCAGCGTCAATTATTTTTAGCTGCAAAGGCCCAAACTCCTTTCCCTCAGTCCCTACCTTACTGTCCAAGTAGGCATACACCAGCTTGACGTTGCCGTACAGAAACACGCTCTGGGTGATGCCGCCGTAGAAGGGAGTGGCGATCAGAACAGCCTCTGCAACGAAGGAAACAAAGCTGCTGATCCACAGGTGACGGCCTCCCTCTCCTCTAGAGTATTGCAGACAAACACGAAAGCTTTTCTTAACAGTTATGCCCCCTGGAAGCACCTCCATGTTACCCATTTTTGCCCACTTCCTTTATATATATTTTTATATATATATAAATCTTCTGCAAGGACTGACCACCCATTCTCAGTATTTCAGGAAACATTAGTCTAGCCCACAGTTAATATAAGAAAAATAAACACACAGCACCACCAAAGCAGCAGAGAGGGACAAGGTGAGACACAAAGGACGGGACTCGTAGACTGGGGAGAGGATGAATTTTTCAGTATGACGTTGCAGGAAACAAGAGCTTCACTAGGCTAATTCCACTATTTCACTTTCATCATACAATATTTTTTAAACTGAGTAACATTATTCCACCCCCCGCACCTCTCCTCCCCAAAATAAACTTTAAAAAACATCTCCCAGTCACCCACTTACCCCCTGGATCACAAAGGACTGTAGCTAATGCAGAAAACAGAGAGCCACAACCATTCAGTACAATCACCTGTGAAAGCAAGAGAGACACACTAGTCATAAACCCCTCCATAGAAGAACACTACAAGGCAATGTCTAGCAAGATCACTGATCCCCAATCCTCTAGCACCGAGGTTCCCACACTTTTCCTGCTGAAGTCCCACTTGTGCCAGGGCTAACAGAGATGCTGTATTCTGCCTCAGAGACACACCACCCTGTGCCTTTCTGGATTCTGATAAGCAATATGGTACTTAGTGAAAGAGTGGGTGCTAATTAGGGAAAACATTTCCAGAGCAGTTCTGAGCTGCCAGACAAGCCAAGTATTTTTCATCAGCCAATCTGGGGTATCTTCCCTTTGTGGTAACAGCAGAGCCTACGTCCTGCCAAATTTGTGCAGAAGTAGGAACAGCTGCCTCAGACAAGGGCAAGCTTGACAGATCCCATGAGTTTCAATCCAAGTACCAGGGACAATCTGCTGCCTTGGAGAGGCAAGGATCTGCAAACGGCTCCGTGATGGCTCCAGCCCACGTGAGGTGCTGCCTTCTGCTGAGCTACTGCGGCCAGGAGTGGAGCTGGGCACCRGCTCCGGCGCCTTCCCGGGTGCCTTGGGCGGGACGCGGGCTCCGGAGCCCAGCGGCACCGCTCTCACATCAGCCAGCCCTGGGAAGGCTCAGCTCTCTGTGCGCCTTCCCGACAAAAGGTCTGAAAGCATCTGGGTTTACAGGATAAAACTAGTTGCAGCTCAGTTCCTGAATTTGTCCTGAGATGCAACAGGAGAACAAATTAAAGTAGGCTGGCACAAGGGGCACCCACAGTCAAGACTGAGGAACAGGAGCACAGTAGGTGCCAGAGCTGAATCAGGAGAGAGAGACATAAAGCCCTACTGCGATGCCCTRTATGAGGGGTTGAGACACAGGAGCAAAGAATAAGGCAGATATAAGGGAAAACTGGCATGTGCTATCTGAAGTATGCATCAAAAGCTACTAAAACACCTGTCGTTCATCTCTTCTATTCATGATAAAACCTATTATTTTTACAATTAATCATTTGTTTTAAAAAATACGAAACTGTTTGAGAACAAAGGGCCCTACTTCAGAAGGGACAGCAAAGGAAAGAGCGTTACCCACGTTTTCTGCCTTAAGAGGTGCAGGGGCCTTGCAGTAATGGGTCAGAAATCGAGCCACTTCCTCCCGCAAGCTGAGAAAGACACAGAAGCAAATATCCATTCAGCTCACTCTGCAAGGGGCCGGGCTGCCCACGGGCACCTCTCGGGAAAATAACGCTCCTTTACAGAAAGGACTGAGGAATGCAGCTGGAAAACAGGAGAGCTCAAGCACATGCCGTAAGCGCGACTTCTACACACGGCAAAGGGGTCACTCATGATGCCTATAATTGTAGATGCATTTTTGAAGAACTTTAATCGAGACACAGGACAAAAGAATTAAAGTCCCTAAGCRTTCACTATATTTCAGAGAACTGTTTTGAGCTACCTAACTTGTTAACACAYACAGTGCTTGTAAGATCGTGTTTGCTTTAGAAAACTAGCATCTTCTCTCACGTGTGTGGACTGCCAACTGGATGAACTGGTAGGGTGATCAATTAGAAAAATTTTAACTAACCACAGTAGCAGAAATGGTTTGTATTTATCCATTCTGTTCATCAGACAAGTACGCAAAAAGYGAAGCACCACAGAAATGAGAAGACTTACAACATGTGTCCCTTCCAGTCAGGATACTGAAGCAGTGGCGGCTCCATGAGATTCATATCAGCCTGTGTCAGCTGCGAGGAACAAGATGACACATTAAAAAGCACAGCCTGTGATACCAGAAACACAGAAACAGGCAGAATCCATGCACAGACATTCACCTGCCTGGATACACATGCAAACACACAGCACTCAACAGCCTTAAAACTGGATTTAGAAAGACACTGAACACCAAAATTAATACAGAAACTCTTCACTGCCCAGAAGTCTATGAGAAGGATGCAAACAYGGGCAATAAAAAGAAGCCCCTTAGGAAGACGCCTGCAAAAGACCTTCTGAACCAAATCAGGCAACCTAAAAAGTCCCAAGGATGAACTCACCCAAGTTTGGAAACCAACAGCTTTCAGATGGGAATTACATCTCCATCATCAAAGCTCTAGAATCGTGAAAACTCAGGTCCACATTGTCAGAAGGTGAAAGGATTTAATTACAGTCATATATATACATATTTTTAAAAAAGTTTTTGATAGATTTTTTCCTAATAAATTCCAGCTTTAATTTAGGACTCTGTTCCAGTTACTGCAGTTCCTTCCAATTCTTAATTCTGACAAGTTTGGCAAGTTTTATAATATAACAGGAACATTCAAAGGATAAGAAAAATATGCAATTATCTTCTTGAAGCTATTTTGTGGCCCATTTTATGTTTATATTTTCATAAATTACATACTTTTGTATCAGACTATTTTCAAGTTGTAAATATCAGGTTTTCGTATAATCCAGTTCTATGAAGTTGCAAGGGGAAGCACAGGGGACACCAGGGCAGAGAAAAGGGAATAAATAAATGCCACATACGGTGCACCTTCCAAACACTTCGTGCTAAACAAATACATGAGTTGATATTAAAAGGGGGAGGGAGGAAATAAGTAGGCAGGACAGCCACAAAGGAGGCAGGAAATTGAACATGCAGTGGGAAAGGTTATCACAAAACAAGGAAACCCGGCGCTCGGCATCYGTGTGCCGGCGGCTTGGCCGGGCTCTGGAGGTTAACGGCACCATCCTCGTCCCATGCAGAATTACAGCCTGCTTTTGTAGGATTACACTTCCTTTATCCATCTGTAGATGCCCCTGGAAGCCTATGGAGCACAGAACTGTGCCTCCTTAGTTCTCTCCTAAACTTCTCTAGGGAATGCAGCACAGAGCACCTCAGCAGACTTGGCCAAAAATTGCTGTGCAATAATCAAGATGAGAATCCTTAAAGGCGATGCTGCAAGGGCTAAGAACAGCAGACAGGCCAACTCAAATATACACTACTTTATCCAGTGGAAACAGTATTTACTGCCCCCACAGCAAGAACTGAGGTGTCCTCTGGTCCTGGTTGGCAGTGCATTCAGTCAACCCATGTTGTCACTCCAGATTGTGCTGGCCAACAAGGTGAACACAGCACCTGTATTCATTCACCTTGYTGCCACAAGCGTGATGGTCCATCTGACTATTGCTGATGAACTCTTAACTCGTTTCCACAACCAGGCTAACGGAGCCACAACGGACCGCGGTCTCCCTGCAGACCTGGTCGGTTCGAAGGGGACAGGACAGAGTGAATGAAGGAAGGTAAAACCTGGGGAGCCCAGAAGGGGCCTCTGCGGGCGCTGGTTCTGCCTTACCTGCTCCTTCAGCTGCAAGGCCCGTGGTGGGGTAGCGCCCCGAGCAGCGCCGTGGCGAGCAGGAATGAAACAAGGAACATTTTGAGGGGGGTGCAATGGGAATTGCGCTGAAATTCACGCCACAGACACCGGCTGCCAGGAACTGCGGCCCCTGCCCTCCCACAGACAACTGCAGGTAGGAAAGGTGGCAGTATTCCCACCGAGGAGTCCGAACCTGGCAATAACTTTAATGAAAATCAAGAAGCATTTCCCTAAGGCACGGTGCTTTTGTTTTCTTTGGGATTTCTTCCTTTTTTGAGTTATGCCATGAGCACTGTGCCTTTCCCCGATGCAACAGAACAAGGTGACCAGCCAGCAGCTGACCCAGCTCAAAGGATTTCAAGGAAATTCAACAGATGGAAGAGTTCACTGATGCCACCCTCTCAGATTCTGGGTAAGTTTAGAACTGGATGTCCGGAATGTGCCACTCTACGATGAACAAAGTCAACCGTCTCCATTCCAAGATCTGAACATTCTTGAAATTAAAGAGAGTTCAAAGCTAATTTTGAAGCCTCTGTATTAAATCAACTACTGTCAGCAGGAGAAAATAAAATGCTTCCTATTTTCATTTGGTTTTGTGAGCCAAACACATCCCCAGAGGTAAACCCACAATGAAGGGGAAAACAAGCTCTGTTCCTATCCTTCTGGAAAAATAATGTAAAGCAACGTGCAAATAGCTGGATGGAGAAGGGACAACAATAAATTAAAAAAAAAATGAGAAGAAAAATTTACCAGAGAAATCTGAGCTTCGGTAATAACTCAAGAAAAGCATAAACACCAAGGAAGAATTACGTAGCATATTTCTTTTTGCAATTTGACTTACCCGTTTAGACATCAGGTCAAAGCAGAGTTTATTCTCACTAGTGCCAAAATTAATTATACCCTAGAAAAAGAAATAAAGTTTTGTTTAGAGACACATAACACAAGTGCACACCTCGCCTTAGCTACCCCTTCACTGATCTGCTTCAGAAAAGGTTATCAAGAAAAGTCAAAACACGATTCACATAAACGTCACCTCCTGAGCCAATACACCCGAGCCCTGTTCCTCAGTGCAACACTAACAGTTTCACCTCTGGAGAGGTGATCCAGCACTTCCAGGCTTCGGATCAGTGTAGCTCACAAAGTAAATAAAATAAATAAAAAGTTAAAATCTTCTAACATATTTTYGAATTGGAAGACATTGGGCAAAACATATGTACAGAAATCTAAACTCTGCCTGTTTATCATGTTATTAAAGTGCACCTCCAGTCTTAGGTATTAATTTGGAGTCTACTGCCTCTATCTGCCCCAGTTAGTGGAAAAGGCAGCGAGCACCTCACTGGAAAAGGTGCTCTGTGTTTGCATCTTAAAGTCAGGTCTAATAATGAAACATTTTAAATTGCCCAGTTGCTTGGTATCTGAATGCAGCATCCATTTAAAAATAATCCACAGGGAAATCCTTACTTGTGTTTACTGTATCTACTGAATGGCACTCTCCGTGATGAACATGCAGCGTTCATGCCACGAGGGGGTGTGTGACAGGCTACATCCAAGCAAGGAGCAAAAGGGAAACAGGCGGGCAGAGTCCTCAGAGTTACCTTGGAAAGCCACATTTCTATCTCAATGTTTGCCACTGGGGTGCTCTGTTTCTTGCACCATCACCAGCAACAAGCAGATAACCAGTGATCAGCAAGAGCGAGAGGTGAATGGCAGGGGCTGCTACGGCCGCGAGCTCCTGACAGGAGCTTCAAACCTTCGCTTTGTCTGCACAGCTACTTTGCACCGCTTTCACTAAAGCACAAGGTTGACCCAGCAGGTATTTGTGAGGTTTAAAGAGAAAAGCAAACAGCGCTGATCTGCCAGCAGCTCTCTCAGACAGAGCGTTTCCCGAGCGCCAAGGCGCCGGCGCTGCAGCGGCCGCCTCACTCACGTCGGGGTTGCTCTCCTCGTCGTACTTGTCGGCGTGGTAAGCGGCGTAGCCCTCCTCGGCGGAGCCCAGCAGCACGTGGGCGACGTGGCCGCGCGCCGACAGGTAGGGGCTGCGGCGCGGGGCGCGCGCGGGGCTGCCGCCCGGAGCCCCGCGCGGAGCCGGCGCCCGCGAGCCAGAGCCCTCGGGGCCCTGCTTGAGGATGCTGAGCACCTGGGCGAAGACGCTGAACATGCGCAGCTCGTGCTCCCGCTCCAGCTCCAGGCGCCGCTGCTCCAGCTGCATGCGGCGCTCCTCCACGTCCGCATCCCGCTGGAAGCGGCGCTCTTCCAGCTGCAGGAAGCGCTCCTCCATGGCCCGCTGGGAGGCCAGCGTCTTCAGCAGGAGCTCGTCGAGCGGGTCCTTCACCCGCTGCCCCTTCCGCTTCTTCCTCAGGCGGTGCAAGGCGGAGAAGCCCGGCCGGGGCACCACGTTCTGGATCCGCGACGAGTTTGCCATGCTGGGCTCACTGAAACCTGAACACATTCAAAAGTGAGAAGAAAAGAACACATATGCATCCACACGCAGTAAATAAACCAGTGTGAACCCGCTTGCTGCCTGCTTTTACCCTTCATACCAAACTACCCACAGAGAAACCTTACAAGAAAACTGAAGTAAGACCATCAGGCACATGCTGCAAGTCTGCAGCAAGCATGGGGTTTTCATTTGGCTTCACATACTGAGTTTCCCCTTATCCTGCCGGGCACTGAACCAGCTCAGTATTCAACCGCTGAATTAACTTCAGTGGCTGCGAGTTCGCTCCTCCAGCTCTGCACCRGGCTAACCACACAACCCTCACCACGGAGGCCACCCAGAACCGCTTCCTGGCCTCCAAAACTATCCCCACACGGGTTATCATCTCTTCTTCTCAGCCATGCCGCATTCTTCCGTCCACCTGCCCTAAACCGGTTTGAWATCATCCCTGTGCTCCCCAGATTCAGTTCTTCTCGGCAGCCAAGAAAGCTGTGGATTGCAGTGTCCATTACAAATACAAATAAATCTCTTTTCCTTTCAACGGGTCAACAGTCCCTCCCAGCGACTTGCAAAGGCTTCTTCCCAAGCACTCATCAGTGGGTTGGGAAGCCCAGCAGTGACTACTCCCAGTATCCTTCTTTGTTGAGTGTCCTGAGCAATGAGCTCCAAAACACATTGGAAGAGCAGAGGAGCCTTTCACCGGCCGGCGGGCACCGTGCTCCTGCAGGAAGCGGCACCGAGCTCCRGGACCGAGGGCAGGTTCTGCTTCCGCGCGGCGGGTGCCGCTGTGCAGAGCGCCCGGGCGCCGGCCCCAGCGTCGGCGCGGCGCAGCCCGCCGCAAAGCACCCAGCCTTGCATCACCAGCGTGCCACGCGCTGCCGACAGCCGCTCAAGCGGCCACCGTCCTCCTTGGGAGCTTTTGGAGGCTCTCCCAGGGGAGCAGGGCAGGCGCCCGCGCCGCCCCTACCTGAAGGCGACGCGCTGGTTTCCAGGGGCATCTCCCCCCGGGAGCCGGGCGAGTCGCTCTGGGCCCTCTCGAGGAAGGCGCCGTCGGCGTCGCGCTCCGCGGGGGAGCCCTGCTGGAAGGGCAGCGACGCGGGGCGCTCGGGGCTCAGGCCGCCCTCCTCCGAGTGGCCCTGCTCGCACTTGACCTCGCTGAGCTGGGCGTGCGGCGCGCGCCCGAAGGCGCCGAAGGGCCCGTAGGCGTCCACGACGGCGGCGGGCAGCACCTGCGGCGCCACCACGGCGGCGGGCAGCACGGGCGGCGCGACCACGGCGCCGAAGGGCAGCGCGGGGCGGCTCTGCAGCACGCGGTCCATGAGCTCGTAGAACTTCCAGGCGCGGCCGCCGCGCAGCGGCGCCTTGCCGTGGTCCTTGATGCGCCGGTACTCCAGCTTCATCTTCTTGATCTTCTCGCGGCACTGGTCGCCCGTGCGCTGGATGCCCTTCTGGCGCAGCAGCTCGGCGATGCGGTTGAAGACGTGCTGGTTGCGCAGGCAGCTCTCCAGCTCCAGCTGCACCGACTCGTCGGCCCACAGCTGCAGCAGCTCGCCCACCTCCGGGTCCGACCAGTTGCTGCCCCGCTCGTACTTCTTGCCGCGGAAATCCATGGCGCCCGCGCCGCCGCGCGCCCGCGCCCAGGCCCCGCCTCTCGCCCACAGACTGGTTCGGCCTCGTGCTGCAGCTCAAGTCGAGGGAGACTGGCAAGACCTTCGTGAGCACCGAGTTCAAGTTCTACAAC